CTAGTCAAGGCCACACATTTGGCGGGTGTTTTAGAATAAACCAAGGTGCCATATCTCAGCTTTGATCCGTTTAAATTGTACATAAAAACAGCAATATGATCATATTGACGACCTGAATGCTTGCACACTACCCTTTTTGTATCCCTTGTTCGGTGTGTGCCGAAAGATGCTACACAAAGTGGTTGGTGTTTGTCATTTTCTACTTCCTTCAAATGTGCTTACCTTCTATGGTAAATGTATACTGTACCACTAGTTCTAGATGCTTTGGTAAGGCCGTCCTACATGCTATAATATGCACACCAGGCACTATCTCTCTAACTCCCTCTCTGTGTGGTACTGTGGCAATCTGTTAATGTTCTGCAGTCTTAATTATGCTCTCATCACGCTAAGTCAATCAGAGATGCCGCGGAGCCAACTGTAACACACCTAGCAGGGGCTTTAGCGATCAATAAAATATCCTCTCTGGGCTAATGTAACTCTCATCACCTCTGGCCCTCTCAGTCACTTGTGTCAGCATGCTGGTCAGGATTAGTGCCTTGTTTTGGTAGAGATTGTACTTGAAAACCAAATATGTAGATACCGTCTAGGTTCATTCATTTTAATATCTTCATATTAATTAGCATAGCTGTCCTTATGTTGAACTTTTATGGACAGTAATCCAGCACCGACTGCTTCACAATAACATGTTGCGTCAATGCAATAGTTGGTGTATATTGGTATTTTTTTATAGAAACATTTTCAAGCAGCGGTAGAAAGCGAAGCCAACGCTAACGAAGAAACTGCATTTAAAAAAAATAATGAGCTGCACTGGGGCTGGGTGTTAGAGTGCCAGCAATGTAAGCTACTAACATCTTGAACCCTAACAGAGATAAATAAAGTTATCAACGGAAAGATGATAATCCATCAGCCTGAGGACAAAACAAACTGCATTTCCTTGAACATACAGCTGGTTCCTACAGCCGCTTCCAAATGAGAGCATCTCACCCACACTTGTAAACCAGCTCATTTGCAATTGTTCTTTTATTATAAGTGCATTCATTCATTGTTTGCATTATTGTCTGCAAAATATTATCTGATAGCATTTGTTGAGAATTACCTTTGTGTTGGGCAAGAAATAAATGCATTTTTATTACACATCAGGACTGAATGAAACATTTATTTATCACATTCATACTGAACCAAGTTTCATAGTTTCAATAGTATTTAAATACATGTTGTAGCACCTATCTATCAGATATTGGATTGGTAAATGGGATGAGGTTTATTTACCTGGTAACTTTCATTATTGTTCTTACATTTAAGACATTTGCAGGTCTGCTGTTTAATTCAATCATTGACATAGAGCCGACCTCATTCTATATCATCTCTTGGTTCAAAAGTTCATGTGAAGAGGCGCCTGAGTACCAAGCATTAGTCCTCTGCCCAGTCTGCTCTCTCTCCCTCAGTGGGCTATCAGGGCTCTATTGGAGGCTTGGCTCTAATCTGTCGGCTCGGGGGTGTGTTTCCTGCATCGGGGCTGTGGCCCAATCCATCTGTCTTCATCAGTGAGCCCGGGCGGCTGTGGGCTTGGGCCAGCAGGACCCTGCTAAGCACCAGCTGCTAGCTGCCTTTCACACTGATTCCCACCAAGAGGGACATATTTACAGTACAGCAAGTTGCCCAGTAAGATTGGAGGACCTTTCAGCCCGTAAAGTACATTTACACTACACAATGTTAGCCCTGAATTTCCACTGCCTGATCACTGTGTGATTCTTCAAAGGCACGGTCTGACAGGTGTCCCAATGAGTTGCAGACACCTGAGAACTGAGAACTCTGCGTGCCCTAATCTTGTGGAGTGAAAAATGTTTTTTGTGGCATTGACAGCCGTATTCACTACCTGAATCAAATGAGAGGGAAGATGCAGGATGAAATCACACAGAGTACTTCTCATACCTGGAACAAATCAGAGCACAAACAACTTGGATCTACTCCTCCTTGCAGACATCCATTTCTAGAGGAATGAACCTCTGTCTTGCTTGTGATCTTGGGTCTTTTCACTTCACATTTGTTTTGTCCACATAGGTTCAAGACCAGACATAATCTTGTATGCCTCATCTAATGTTTAAAACCCTACAAGTTCTAGATGATCAGAAAATACATCTGGTGTCTTTTAAGTGTAGTGTTTTTTGTAAGTGCCACTAGTGCTAGCGTTTTCCTTATTCTCTTGAGGTTTTGTTTTGTCTCCCTGCGGTGCTTGTGCCATTTATCAAACTGAGTGTCATTTGTCTGTGACTCTGCATCTCTCATATTTCAGAGTATAGAGGTTAACAGAAAGGCTGTGCACATCAGTTTGTTGTTAGTTTTTGACACTAGAAACGGCAACACTTTAAAATGGATGGATCATATAGTTGTGGGTTTAATGCTATGCCATTTATTTTCTAAGATTGACCAAGCTTTCTCTAAAAGTCTCTCTCTGTTCTGCTCCACTCCTACAAAAAGATCAGAACAATCTGCAGATGATAAAATAATTGTTTTTTCAGTTGTCACCCCAATTGTTATTGATGTTGCCTTTTCTTCGGAATATGATGGAGAGGCTCATATCATCCTTTTTCACATTCTTGCCAATAGCATTCTTCGCTTATTGTCCATCCACTCATCAATCCATCTGTTAGGGCTGCTCGATTATGGCAAAAATCATAATCTCGATTATTTGGGTCAATAATTGATATCACGATTCACGATTATTAAAAACGATTATTCATTTACTTTGAAAACATCCATTATTGAAAACAAATTTGAACAGTATGTTTTTAACAGTTGATTACCCTGAACTTTAAGTATAATTCAACCGAAAAACCCAAAAAAAATAAATAATCGTTTTATTTTGATAATGTTGTTTTCATAATCGTTGCAAGCCAAAATCGTAATTGCGATTTAAAATAAGATTAATTGAGCAGCTCTACCATCTGTCTATTTTTTGTATGTAACTTTCACTTTAATCGTGTAAACTCACCACTGGGCTCAACAAATTCTGCAAAGTTCAACACGCACTCTTGGAGTTTCAGGCTCTGCACTTTCCCTCCTCACCTCATACCTCAAAGACCGTACCTACAGGGTAACTTGGGGAGGGTCCGAGTCCGACCCTTGTCAATTAACTACAGGGGTCCCTCAGGGCTCTGTTCTTGGTCCCCTCCTCTTCTCCCTGTGCAGAAACTCGCTCGGATCTGTCATTAGCCCGCATGGTTTTTCATACCACTGCTACGCTGACGACACCCAATTAATTCTGTCCTTTTCTGACCCAGGTCGTCGCACGCATCTCTGCTTGTCTAGTGGACATCTCTCAGTGGATGTCTGCTCACCACCTCAAGCTCAACCTTGACAAGACTGAACTGCTTTTCCTTGAGTGGGACAATCTTTTCCCGGAAGGAAAAGCAGTTCAGTCTTGTCAAGGTTGAGCTTGAGGTGGTGAGCAGACATCCACTGAGAGATGTCCACTAGACAAGCAGAGATGCGTGCGACGACCNTGTCCGTCGCCTCGTCGGAGAATCGAGCCTTAGGCCAAGCAAAGTTCGTGGTTTTTAACAGGCCGATCTCGTTTTCGTGCGTATGCAGTGCCGAATGCAGCTCCGCCCCCGTCCCCGCGCCTAGTTTTGAGGACTTGTTGTTGTTCTTCGACCGGCAAAATAGGTCAAACATGTGTTACTACCCTCTTTGAATCTGTTCGGTCGTCATCCAGTGACTTCCTCCTGAGTCGATGATGACCCTAGACCAGAAGACTTCTCATGTCTCCTTCGACCTCGTGCTAGCGGTAACAAACAAAACAAACAGACCACAGTCGAACACCTCCCCAAAAGGCCGCGCAAACCGAAATACTTCGTCGTGCGTTTGCCAATGGCAGTACTGCGTTCTGCTACTGCGTCGTGGTAAGCCTGAGACCCCGCCACACTTTTCTCGGTCTTCGATTTTGGCTTCTAGGCGAAGACTTGGACTTTCTTCGAGATCGTGCCTCGAACTTGGCCTCAACGCAACCACACATACTGCCATACACTTGGTATGAACGGTTCTGGAGGGCTTAAGTAACGGGAGAGGGCCAAGGAAGGGCCATATAAGAGGGCGTAGAGGCTAAGACTGTGTAGTCTAAATGAGCCCTGACAAAGGTGAGCCTGAAAGTTATGTCATGGTAACAAACCAAAGGTACCATCGTGCAGAGAAATCATGCGCGCGTGAGTTTGTCAGACTCCTCCAACTTTCCTATCAGTGTCTTTTGGCTTGTTTAGCTGTTGAGAACGAGTGAGGAAAAAAACCCGGTGCTTTTCAAGCTCCAGCTCCGAACCGGCCCTGAAACACCGTTGGTGTGAATGAGGTATGAGAATATTCATGATGGAGATGTAAGAATGCAATAAACTCACTCAAAATCAATCCTGTTTTTATTAAACTAGCAGCAAAGTTTGCTATCTTTTAGACTTCTAAAACCTGTTGCTGATTTGTACATTTGCCCTTTGATGCTGCTCAGACTGTATATCCACATCAGATTATATATTTAGAGACTTAATAAAAAGTTTATCCCCAGCTTTCATTTTGTTTGCACACAAAAGTTGATAATAGGATTTATTGAAACGGCACAAACCTCTTCACATGACATTTCTTTGAGGCTTGAAGAACTGAGTGTTCATGTTGCTACAGGAAACTGCTGATGCTGTTGTTGAATAAGGTGAAATGCAGCTATTTATATCATCTGAATGCGTTTGCAACAACAGGCTTCCTGCAAACCGGACCATGTGAAGACTGATCCGCTCCCTGAAAGAGGAACTTCAGTCTGACCGGAAGCTGCACAGTAACAGAGCGATGACGCAACTGAGAGGATTAATTTGTGAAATGTGAAAGAAATAAGCCTGCTGACCAACAAAAATAGTTAGTTAACCAATCCCACACCTCTAAAGAGACCAGCTTGTAGCATTAGTGGATCCCCTTGTTATATGTGAGGAGGGGAAATGAATGAAACACGTGTGGTTCTTACCCGAGTTGGAGCCCGACAGGTTGTATCTTGAATTTGCCTTTTTGATGAGGTTCTCATGGATTTGGTGCCACTCACTCTCTGTGTTACACCTGAGACAGAAAGAAGACACTTGTGTTCACTTGTATTTTTGTTGGGTGATCAAACAAATACATAAATTATGTTTTAATAAAGAAATGCATTACAAACTGGAAATACAAAACAGAGGGTTTTTTTACTTTTTTATAACAAGATTTTTAAAATGTTTGGCATTGAGTCCAAACAGCGTTACGGTTTCAAGATGAATCACGCCTCAAGGTGTTGACATCAACAGCTCAACTTCTTCTATTCGATTTGCATACTTAAAAAAGCAGTGTATTTCACTTCAATAAATAAGTGGGACTCACATAAACAGACCTATTATTCATTGTCAATATTTATCTAGGGCAGGTGGAGTACAAAACAAACAGTATTTACTCTGACGTCTTGTCTGGAGGTGAGGACATTCAGCTCAGAACTTTAATGCTAATCCGACTGAAACCTCTCTGGTGTTACTGCAGGTATAAAGGAAGTGTTTGTGTTTCCTTTCAGCTGAACGTATGTGGCCAGTCAGTCTGATCCAGCTATTATTTAGGTCACACTAGTAAGTCATCGAGTGCCTATTTCCATCCCTCGGGGCATGGTGTATTAAGTTGGACCACAAAGCTGTTTTTCTGTTGTTATAAGAAAAATAGAGAAGAAAAAACAGGCTTCAAAAGTAAAATTGAGTATTATAATGAAAAGTGCTGTATTATTTACTCAGACTACAAACTAAGAAGTTAATGACTTGAATTGGATTTAATTAAAACACACATCATGTTCTGAGAGGGAAAAAGGCATAATGCTTGAATCTTGTTGAACTTGCAAGTCAAAAAAAATCTATGGAGGAAGGGGCTTAGCATTTTTTGTTTTATTATGAACATACAATTCAATTTAAATGTTCCAAGGAAAAAAAGGCACAAGCTTTCAATTGTATATCTGAGAAAGAAAGAAAATCCGAATCGGCAGTTCAGACTCAACCAATCAGAATGAGCCAAGAATCTCCCGGTTTATACTTTGGTCTTTTATAATAAAATACTGGCTGTTTACAGTGACTTACGCATAAACCTTGAGCAGATGGTCATCCTTGGAGTCAGCAGTGAGGAGATCTGCGATGCTGATGACAGCACAGCCAAACGGCCGTCTGTACTGCACGCTGCACAGATTCTTCTTCTCCCCTGCTCCCATTCTCCCTGCATACACACAGACACACAACAGCTCTATAAACGCCAGAGAGACTTAAAAGAAGTGTAGTAAAAATAAAGAAGCATCCTTGTGACTCCCACCTATTCTTACGATGTGCACAACGATGTAGACGTCTTTTCGTAGATCACTGCTTCCCAGGTCCTTAAAGAAAAACACACTTTAGCATCAGATCCAATCATTGTAAACAAGATAGTTTCTTAGCTCTTGTTTTTGTGTAATTGTGCGTGACTTTACGGCACATATCTTTAATTTGTTTAGTCATGTTTTGTACTCACCACAAATAGCGTGCATTGTCTTTCTGTCTTCTCTGGCGACTTGGGCAACCCGCTCTTATTCAGCTTGACAAAGAACCTCTCACTGTACCAATGGGGAGACAGAGGGAGAGGAACACACATTGAGATGAATGGGGTAAAGAAAGAGTGAGTGTCATCATAAACAACTGCATCCAAGCCACGGCTCACAGGAAACAGAATAAAGATTAGAGACAGCGTCAAAAATGTCAAGTTCTGAAGTGTGGGCACCGGAGAAAACGCTTCAAAGTTAAAAGCTTCAAACCAGAGCTGCCTGGAGCTGAATATAAGGCGGGAGAAAGACAGGCAGAAAAGAGGCAGAAGGATGGAGGGAGAGAAAAGGATATCCAAAGCTTGAATTACTGAACCAAATCCCCAGCACAGCATGTCAGGAACATATCCGACAACAAGTACACGTTTCAGTCCAGACACTGCAAGTTCAGCAGAAATAGGGAAGGGTTAGAACAACAAATGTTCAATGTCAATCTTAAAACTGCCAAGCTTGTTGTCATAAATCATCTGGTAGTGACGGCGCTATACTGACACCATAATGAGCAATTTAATAAAAGACAGAAAAGTTGAAAATGAACCTGATAGAAGCTGGTAAAGGTCTGCATGTTTATTATTAACTGCCTCTCTCATTTTACAGCTATTAAGTCTGAAAGAACAGTATTGGACAAATTCAAAACATGTCTTCATAATGGAGCTTTTAGCAGAGTAAAAGGAAGAACAACATTTTTTCAGAAATCACCCTGAGGCTACCAAAAACGTCACTCGAGCCAATAGTTGTTGTTGAGATATTACAATCAGGACCAAAAACACATTAGTAGCATTACAGAAGAAAGTTACGGCCCGTCCACACACAGGCATGACAAAAATCGTGAAAAATCTTGATGCTGGGCGTGTCTGAAGTTGGCGATTTTTTGCGAGCAACGCG